TTGTTTTACAAAAATGAGTGATATTCATTCTGTAAATACTATGAACAGACACAAGCTAGTAGTAGGCAGTTACACGACTCCACCGAGTCAGTAATTCATTCTTGGGGCGATGCATACGCTTTTACAACAAAATCCCAGAAAATATACAAAATTTGACATGCAAAGTTCGAAACTTTATTAAACTAAGTTTGTATAAAAAAGGATTATTATAATATTAAGGAATTTATAGATGATATCCCCTGGGAAGGCCGATCGCTACCAAGCTGTTTCTAATTTATTATGTGTTGTTAATTGTAACAAACATGTTTGTAAGCCATTTTTTTGTGTCACGTCATGTCAGTTTTTTAAAGTTCTGCTGGGTTTCTTGCTGATTCTTCTCAGGACAGAAGTTTTTTTTTTTCGAACCAGTAGTAAATTAAAAAAGTGACTTTCAATAAGTATCATTTATAATCTATATTGAATAAAAAGTTTCTGTTTCTGTACATACATAAACTCGCTCAAGGAGATAATAACAGACTCCTATTGCGCGATATTCTCTGCAAGTTTGCAGAGATGCGCTACCCCGCGTGCTGCCACCAGAGTTGCATTATCTATCATTAGAGACCACACTGCACCAATAATAAAAACCAGTCTAAATAAATCGTAGGCATGTTATGTAATAATATACATTACACTTAGCTATCTAAAATCGCAATCTTTATCTTTATTAATAAATGCTTTGTTTATTTTGAAGATTTGAATAACATATCGTGGTAAAAAAAAATTAAATTTGGTTTTCCTTAAATACTTGGTCGGCAGTTATTAAGGCTGACTAAATTTCACCATATTATGCCTTTGATACCCTACACCAATGATTATTTTGAATGATTATTCGAATGATTATTTCGAACCAATGAGTATTTCAAATTTTCCTTAGTTAGGCCTTATTAACCGCAAGTACCATATATACACAAATAAAGAAAAGCTAAGAAAGCTCTGTGTCTGAACATTCTTATCTTAGTCGTATAAATGTTATTATATAAAAATTTTGCCAGATGGGAGGTTCTATTTAACTCAACCAAAATACTGAGATTATGTTTTTTTACAGTCGACGCAAAATCGAGTGTACACCGCTACCAGACGCACTGAATCCGTGCGAAGACGTCATGGGTTGGTTCTGGCTGCGAGCGAGCGTCTGGTTTGTCATTGCGGCCGCGGTAGTCGGGAACGTCGCCGTCCTATTAGTCTTGCTCACTAATCACGCGGAACTCACCGTGCCCAGATTCCTCATGTGCCATTTAGCATTCTCCGACCTGTGCACGGGGTTGTATCTCTTCATGCTAGCGGCTGTAGACCTACGATCGTATAGAGAATTCTTCAATTACGCGTACAGTTGGCAGTACGGGACCGGCTGCAAGATAGCCGGGTTCCTTTCGGTGTTTTCTGGGCAACTCTCAGTGTTCACTCTGACGATAGTAACGTTGGAGCGCTGGTTTGCAATAACATACGCAATTTACCTAGAACGACGGATTTCCTTGGGTGCTGCCGCGAAAATAATGATTGGTGGATGGATCTTTTCCATTATGATGGCTGGACTACCTCTTGTCGGTGTATCCGACTACTCTTCTACCTCCATATGCCTGCCAGTTGAGAGCGTGAGCGTCGGCGACGCAGTTTACCAGGGCTCGTTGTTCCTCACCAATGCTGTAGCCTGGGTTACCATCGTCGTTTGTTATGTACAAATATACAGGTCTTTGGGTAGAGGAGGTGAAAGTTACGGTGGGAGGGGGGCGGCAGCCGCGGCGGAGCGCCGGATAGCGAACAAAATGGCGCTATTAATCGGCACCGATTTGCTATGCTGGGCTCCGGTTGCCTTCTTCGGTGTTACAGCGCTAGCTGGAGTTCCCTTAGTGGACGTTAGCCATGGGAAAGTTCTGTTGGTATTCTTCTACCCACTGAACGCCTGTGCGAATCCATTCCTGTACGCTATTCTAACGAAACAGTACCGACGGGATTTTATAACGCTGGTAGCACGGACAGGGACGTGCAGCTGGTTAGTAGAGAAGTACAAGCTGGCGGCGACCCCGCCCCCCACGGCGCACACGAACCCCTCCGCCCACGCGCCCCACATCCCTCTTATCGACTGTAACAGATCGCAATCGCAGGTCAGCAAAGAAAATGGTGAAGTTTTGCTTTAATTACTTGTTAAGTCTATATGTTATTATTAATGATATTAATAAACTATTATTTATTACAGTTTGCGTTTTATTACATAATCATCCAGATTTCTGATATGCCCATATATTTACATTTCTTTTTTAATTTATTTCGAAAACCAACAGCGTATACAGTAAATATTTAATATTAATTGCTCCATTACTTTCAAATAACTATTTTACCAAATACACTAAAATCACTCAGCCATTACAAGTACTACGAGTACGAGTACGAGTACGGGAAGACTAAACAATTCTCTGCCAGATTATTCTTTCTGAATACGAATTTTTTTGCCCGACTCGGGATTCGTATTTGGGACTTCATGATGAACAATTGTATACTGGACCAACGCAGTAAACAATAAATACCATACAATCAAGTGTCAGTAAGTGTACCTTCGGCTGCGTGAATAATGGATAGCTTACAAAACCCACGATGGTTACGATCAGCGTAAACGAAAAGTCGCAACCGGAGCCTCTTCCTTCCTATGATTTGATACTATGCTACAGGCACGGCCCAGGGGCAGTAATGCCCCCAGCACCCTCGCAGTGATATCAATATGCCTCGAGACCACTTTTGAGTCATCATCCTTCGCGGGAGTTAAACTTTACCCCCAGATGCTCTGTTTCAGGAAAGGGGTTATCATCATAAAGGGGTGAGTCGCAACACAAGGTGTGGGGTTTTAACGCCTCCGTGACTTATTAATACAAGGGCGCTGAGCGCCAAGACTAAGATTTCCTCCTATATCTTGGAGGCAGTTTGAATATACAAACATAAATTGCTCAACAACAAACAACCAGTCCTGAAGCAATTATTTGTAGGTCAATTAAACACTAGCTACAAGCAGGATTCGATTCTATTATAGGAAACAAATGCTTAGCCACTTCGCTAATGAGTCGAACTCACTCAGTATGAGGCTGAGTCAGTACCCAAGCGATCGAATCCGACCACGGCGCTATTCCATCAAAATTCGAGCGGTCGGATGCGACCGCGCACATCTACAGCACTTTAAACCATTAAAACTTATATTTAGAGAATAAATATGAAATTTTCTATCCTTTAGTGCAATAAAAAATCAAGTATTTATTTATAATCTACGTTCATTTCGTACGCCATTTTCGCGTGAATGTTATTGTGTTGATTTTTGGATTTTTCTAGTGTTTATTAGTGTTTTAGTATAGTGTTTTATTATAAAGTTTTTGTGTCAATATAATTTGTCTTTTTACGTAAATAATTTCGAGAAATATATATTGAAATAATTGTGATTTTCACGCTGCCGACATTTGCTTGGTATGTTTTGTTTTTGTTATCAAAATACAATAGTTTTTTTTTTCTAATGAAGTAAAACCTGACTTTTATTTAGAGCACAGGATAGAGAATTTTGTATAGATTTTATAAAGCCAAACTTCTTCATAGAAAAGTAGTCTCTAAATATAAGTTTTAATGGTTTTAAGTGCTGCGGGTGGGTGCGGTCGCATGCCAAGGACCGCTCGAGATTTGCCGGGCGCATGCGACTGCATGGGATTTTTATTGGGATTGAGGGGTTAAGGACTAAAATATGTTCTATCAATTAAAGATGAACGCATATTTGTCCGCACTGTACGCGCCGCATTTTGCGGATGGCCTAGCACATTTGTACGTACGCGCCGTACGCATTTCTTTTGTATTGCCAAAAACTTTTACAATTTTTCCCAACCACTAGTGTGCTCTTAAAAATAAATTTCGAAACGATAGTCAAACCACCGGTTTTAAAAGAAAATCCACTAAGTTGGCAACATTAGACAACATTAAGTATCAGCACGCGCCGCATTATGACGTCATCAGCACTAGTCCAATATTCGGGTACCTACCGCTTTGTATATAATGCGACGCGTACGGTGCAGCTGTAATGTGCGAGGTCATATATAATTTGATACAACGAATACCAAAATGCGGCGCGTACGGTGTGTACGGTACTGACAATGTGCGTTCAGCTTAAAACCTTGCATTATCATTGTAATTTAAAGTTGTTGCCGTAGAATATATCAGGGTTTTACAATTGTTGTCGTGGGGTGCTTAAAGTTTAATTGTAAGGTACTTATAGGATTGATGGCTTTTGTCGTGGGATACATTTTTAAAATAGAATATGAGGGACAAACGAGCACACAGTCCACCTGATGGTAAGTGGATGCTGTGGCCCATAGACATCTACATCTATTCTCGATTTAGAATTACAATGTAAATACGTTGCAACTCTTGAGGACTAAGATTAAATGTCTCGTTTCCAGTGAAAAAGGTCTCCGGTTCTCTACACCCACCATACGAAATAACTTATTCTGTACATAACGTATCCTGTGGAGCGTGGTCCTACCCCGGTCGAGCCGACACGTTCATACTACAACTATAATATAGCTGCAGCATTTTATAATGTTGCTTTGGCGCTGTGATACACGGATCCCGCGCCGGAAATCCGTTGCAGGTACACGCAGCGGGATCAGTCGCGTGCGAACGTCTGTCAAAATCTCCCAAAAACTTCGCAATGTATGACGCATCAACATATTATGAAGAATATTTTAAACAAATTATTAAAGGTTAATTTCTTAATTACTACTTGACAATGGCAAAATGTACAGATCTATTATCAAACAAAGTGTAACAAAACGTGTTCCACATCACACAGGCAGCGAAACTAGTTGTTGCTGTAGATTATAAAACGATTTTATAAAAAAAAAATACATGAAATCTATAAATTATATTAAGTGCTTTCTTTGAAGTTGTAACAATTTTTATTGATTTGGTTTTCTAGTCTTAGCTATTATTTATTATTAAATTAACAAAAACATTTGAGAATATTCATCTAGCTTACTTAATACATCATTACTAATATACTCCACAACTAATTTATCACCTTCCATTAAAATTTCGTTCTTAATTAAATCAGCCATTTCTATATCCATTTTCCATGGACTAACACAATATCCGTCCAGTTGTCTAAAAAGCCTAAGTTTCACATCTCCAAACTTGTTGTTATCATTTTTTATATTACATGTATCACAAATACTGTCTAATACTCTACCAAGACTCCACTTCGAACTAATAAATATTGGGACTGTATCTTTTAAATCAGGGTCTAAAGTCACGGATTCAATTTGTACCACATTTTCTTCATCGGTTATAATTCTAACAGGTTTTGGCTCCAAGTTTACAGGTTTCCTTATAGCAAAATAAACTCTATCTGAAGCAGGTATAGATTTTGGACCTAGGGCCTTTTGTTTGATCCTCATAAGATGAATTTTGGATGCAGTCTTTACTTTTGTTGATGATTGCAGTGCCTTTCGTATGTTTTCTGTTATCTAAAACAAATTTTAGTAAGTATTTAATTAAGTAAGATTGATTCTACAGAGTAAAGATATTACATAAATGCAGTAAAAATCGACTTGGGAAAATTGAGATAAGTATGTAGGCAATACAAAACCACGTATTCAAAGTGTAAAGCAAAAAGTTTTGTACCATGCAGTAGCGATGTAAGAATATCTACTAGCAACATTAACCCATGAGTGTCACAAGAGGCAACAGAGGGAAACTGGAACAAGAGATGGGCAGCCGCATCTTCCTGATAACCACTTAAAATAATAAAAAACTGTGGTTGCTAACCTGCTTGCCAAGCGTGGCAACTATAGCAAAATCTCCCCTATAAGGCAATCCAAAGGGGAGGCCTACGTTCGGCAGTGGGCTTTTATAAGCTGTAATGGAATAAAGCTAATAAGACTAGGACCGTGCTTTGTCGCATTTCTTGAGGGAATAAACTGCCTTTACCAACAACAAATATTTTGTACGTGGTAAAACCACACTGCAACTATTATGGTTGTAGCATGAATGGGTCGGCTCGACCGGAGAAGGACCGCGCTCTCACAGGATACCAGCGTAAAATAGCAGCGTAATGCTGCTGTGTTTCATATGGTGGGTGTAGAGAACTGGAGACCAACTTGCTGGAACTGGACTTACTGGAATCGAGGCATTCCATTTTAGCCCTCAGGGGTGACAACGCATGTGCATTTTGATCCTTAATTGAGGATAAATGCGGATATCTATGGAGCGCAGCATCCACTTACCATCAGGTGGACTGTGTGCTTCTTGGGCACCAAATGCTAAAAAAAATTGTCACTCTCTCTAGTAGCGACATACACTTGCATACCAAAAAAGAAAACAACTAACCTTCTGCTGCAAATGTTTATTAGCTTCATGGAATTGCCGTCTTGGTGCTTCATATTGTTCTATTTTTCTAGCCATTGTTTCATCATCAATTTCAGGACAAGATCTAAAATTACCAAATAATAATAATGATGTCTAAGATGAATAGTAAAGTCACAGCCTATATAAGTCCCACGTTTGGGCACAAGCCTACTGTCATTTGTGAGAGAATTTTTGGAGCAGTAAGCTCTGTTGTGCTGCCATAATGTGTGTAGAAGGTAGTATACGACTGAAGCTCGATTTCTCGCCGAAGCCATTATCATCTCTAGAAGTGGATCTGCCACAGCGTGTTGCTTGCTAGAAACCTTAGGCTTCTGCCAAAACTATGAAGCCGAGGGTTTCAACAAAGGCGGTCGAAACTTCGGCTTCTGCTTTCACCAACTTCAAACACTACTAGTAGAAGGGCTTCACATGACCTCTAAATATTTATAAGTTCTCTGACATACTGGTTTACTCACAATATTTTCCTTCAAAACAAGGCTTGAGCTTATGGTATTTAAAAATTAATTTGATTGCATACTATGAAATTTTTGAGGCATGCCCTTCTCACCTGAGCTTCTACATCTCTTTTGTCTTCATTCATTCATTAATTTATAACAGCCAATCAAAGGTCCCCACAGACATTCCTTGTGGATAGCCTCATAAGGGGGGGTATGCCATGCTTGGTTGGTGCATTGGCAACCGCACAATTTTTATTATTTCAAGTAGTTATCAGAAAAATGCTGCTGCCCACTTCCTGTTTCAGTCCCTTCTGTCACCTCTCACTGCACCCACGGATGTTATTGTGATCTAGATTGTCTCATGCCGGCACTACATGTCAAAGTCATTGACTGACCAGTAACTAAATAGACTACTGACGAAATAGTGCTTTAAGATAAGGGTTTTCTATAGAAGCCCGATACTTGACTTTATTTATGTTTTCAATTTAGGCTTGTCAGGGATAAGCTTGAACCTTTTACACTGTTTTTGGATATTGGAAATGCGTTTTGAATTAATTACCATAAAATAAATTTTAAATAAATTGCAAATATGTCAATACGTGTTCTAGTGTTATGAAGTAGACGTCCATCCCATATTTGACTTAATATATGTTTTCAGTTTAGGAAGTTTGTCAAGGCTAAGCTTAAATCTTTTACACTGTTTTTGGATTTCAGAAACACAAATTTGTCAATATGTTTTTTTTTACATGGGGACACCCATAAGAAAGTTAATCACTTGGACACAGATAATTAATTTATGGCTGAAGATGGGACTCATACACAGCAAATTGGTATTTTCATAAAATAAAATAATAGCAATTCACATTATATTGTTTCATTTACCACTATGATAGCAGAGTTTAGGGCAACCTGACTTTTTAGATAAGTTGAATCTGTACTAAGAACAAATCAGCATGCCCACATAGTCTAGTCTGCCCTACCCCTAGTGTTTTTGTAAAGCCAAAAGCGCAGTGGGAGAGCAGTCTCACCCGCCAGATGCCTGCAGAGAAGAGCATGAGTGCTCTTTTCTGCAAGGGGGCAAGGGTAGGGGGCCTTCCCCTGAACCTAACTCTTCCCCCACCCCCGTACACAAGTACTGCATGTCTAATTACTGTTACCTAAAATGATATTATAAAGCTTTATAAGTTATTCAAAATAATTAAATTAACACGATTTGGATAATTAAAAAATCAAACCATTACTCATTTTAATAAAAGAGGTAAAGAATGCCTTATAAACTTATGATTTGGAACCTTGAAGAAAGAAAGATTACCTACATATGCACAGTCTATAATCTATAATCATTAAACTTACGGATGAAATCTATGTTCAATGCAATAATGTTTATTGCACTTGCTGCACAAAAGTTCGTGTAAGTTTCCATTCTTACAGCCTTCCTCAGAGCATCGAAATATTTCATCGTCACTTTTTAGACGTATATCTTTTGGTTTCGGGGCCATTTCACAGAAACCAGAAGTGCAATGATCACCAAAATGTGCTCGACAAAACACTTTACCGCATTTGCACTGTAGAGGCAAAAAGTCTTTTTGTTTACAATCTTCATTTTGGCAGTGCTCGCCAAGTGTTGGAAACTCCATTTCACTTAACAACCTTATTTTTATTTATAATATTCCGGTCGCTTTGTGTGTATTATATTTTAGATTTCCTTACGTAAACAGAGAATTCTCTGTCTACGTTTCCTTTTATATATTTACTGGTGGCGAGAACAAAGCAAAACAAAGATATGACTAGTGAAATCTGACAATGTCACTGTCACGTACATTACAATTACAATCATGAAAAAAACAGGAGAACGATCACTAAGTAAAGCATAGCCCGCCTGTCCTTGAAAATTGTAGAATACACGCTTGCTACATATTTATTTATCTATGAGATAATAGTGTTCTGTGATGAGAATACATAGCGGCCCTGACGTCGGTGAGTAGTGACTGCGAAGTTAGCTGTTTATGAGTACAAGTAGGTGAAGTTAGTTAAATAATGTATAAATTTTCATTTCATTTTTTCGTAGAAAATTTTCATGCTCCGTAATTTTGTAATTTTTGACAAAAAGAAACATTAAAAAATGGAGAAATATTTTATTGTGCGTGGATGTGCGAGTGGTTGAGCATCTGATCGGGAAAATATACTGAAAATGACTTATTGACTGCACTTAGTGATCGCAGCGCCTCACTAATGGTGTCCATATTTCTGGGACACTATTTTCTACGGCGATCGTTCTCCTGTTCTCTAACCTTCATGATACTCTTTATAGAGAACATTACAATGACATTTACACCTTTTTTAATTAAGATTTTTGGCTTGGATGCTTGTTCTTTAAGCCATGTCTTCATTTAATTCGGGATCTTCGTTTTTATAGATTTTTTATTCACAATATGCTGATGATTTTTTTTGGGAGATTTTGACGACAGATCAACCAACCAGACTACTAAGAGGGTACTACGCATGATGGATCAACCCATTGGACCACAGCGGACAGTCGGTGACGACAGTCACCCAAATTCATAAGGTGCTTAAGCGATCAAAATAACTTGGGGTTTATATCAACATCGAAGCACTTGTCTCATCGGTTTCTCAAATAGTTCAGATGCGCAGAAACAAACACAAAATCGCATCACTTTTACGTATCAAACTCCACCTCAAACCATTATTTATACTGTTACCGCCACTTCTCAAATTGAAAGATTCCGCATTTTTGGTCAATCTTATTGACGAATCAGATTTCCTTTATAATACCTTTCATTCATTCATTCATCTCATTCCTTTTTGCAACCGGCAACGGAGTAGAAGGGTAGTCTAAGTAAGACCACGCCCGCACGCGGAAGCATATTGTGTCACGCTCGCTATATCTGCTTAATTATCATAAACTTAAAATCACGGCTGTGCACTGCGTTAAATAAGTGTAAATTGCGCAAGAAATCTAGGAGTGCACCACGCGAGTGTCAACCTGAGGTACAAGAAGAAGCTGCCAGCGTTCACCAGATCCGTGCCCTCAGTTTTATGTGTCGGTTGCAAATTTCAACGAAATCTAATTCCAATTACCTATTACAGTCCACTTCAACCCACTTTAACGCGTCACCTTATACTATAAAACAGGAGCAACAATTCGTCGATGGTCAAGTTCTCGCCAAAACCAAAACCAAAGTAATCACTAAATTTTACAGGAAACTAGGGTGCAAAAATAAAATCGTCCAATTTTTTCATTACATTATGAATTAAAAATTAAAGCTTTTCTTCATAATGTAATGTCAAAATCATAATTCTGTAGTTTGCATTATTTGTAGTTATATATTCATTTTCCGTGCCGTGTAGTGGCGGTAAGAATATCCACTACCTCATATCATCCCGTGGGTGTCGTAAAAGGCGACAGAGGGAGACAGGCAGGAGATGAGCAGCAGCATCCTCCTGATAGCAGCAACTGTATAAAAAAACTGCGGTTGCCAATCCGCCTGCCAAGCGTGGCGACTATGGCAATATACCCCCCCATGAGAAACGACGTAAATGACGGCCTCCAGTCCCCGGCGGCACCGCTATTCCTGGCTACGGTGGCGACCATGGTAACGGCGGGGCAGGGGGTGCTAAGAATCTCCGGTGGAAGTTCGGTTGCCACCTACGACGACTCGACCTGGCAACATATAAAGCACGCACCCTGAGGACTGACGAGGAGATCCTGGAGCTGGAAGAAGAGATAGACAAGTTTCGCTGGAATATTATAGAATTATCCGAGGTCCGAAGAGAGGCGGAGGACACGGCGATTCTCGGATCCGGCAACTTGTTCTATCACCGGAAGGGCAACCTTCTGTCCCAAGGAGGTGTTGGACTTATCGTCCACCAGTCTCTCGTTAACAACGTTGTAAACATTGGGAGTGTATCGACGAGCGTTGCGTACTTTATACTCAGAATGACCAAACGGTATTCGCTGAAGGTAATATAGGTTTACGCGCCAACGTCGTAACATCCCGATAAGAAGGCCGAGGAAATGTATGAGGATATTTCTAGAGCCATGCATTCCTCCAAAACTCACTATACGTGTTGTGTGTTTAAATGTTTGAATATAATGTTTAAATATAATTAAATCGCGCTAATTAAAGTAGTAGGAATGTTTAAAGTTGAAATTGGCACTAAAAATAGGGGCGCATCCACCCTACAAAGCGTGAATATAAAATTTAAATCAGGTTCGTGTCTCATCGCTCTGGGAGCATGTAGCAAACTAAACGCGCGCCCAACGTGTGGACGAGGCGGCCAAACTCTGCCAACAATCCTTTGATCTTTTGTAAAAAACCGACACCACACGGATCTCGCGCCAACTTGTGGGCCATCGTTCCAATACATACCAATGGAGCCCAAACACCCGCTCTACACGATGGCCAATGCTATTGGCCACTACATTCGCCACTGTGTTGGCCAAAGTGTAGAGCCACTGTAAGGTGAGCCGCATACTCGTTTAGTCTCTCTTATAATATATTTAAAAAAAAAAAACAATTCATACTCCAAGCTATACGACTGAAGTTTGTGAGATGTTCCGTACTATTAAAATTTTACGAGATGTTGTATAAATAAAAATAAAAAAGGATCTGCAACTCCTATTAAACTTTATTAAAAAAGACAAATAAATAAGGCATTGAAAGGTATTTATATTATTTATAAAATCACATTTGTAATTTAATAAGTGATCTGAAGTCATATTGCTATACCACGGACTTCTGCAATATTTACAAATTATGCAATTTATACATACTGCGCTTAACATCCATTAAGGAATTCTTCACAATTTAAAATGTAATACCTTCAAAATAAAGCCTTAAGTTGTATCAATTATAGCAATCAATGCGGATTGGTTTTTTTTTTACAAAAAATATCTGCAATATGAATATGAAACTGTTAATAATTTTTCATTAAACATTTAATTCAACGATTTGCTATAAAATTTAAAAAAGAATTACTGTTAAGCAAATTTCTAAATTCTGTATATATATAAAATAATTGGTTGTTTATGTTACATTAGCTTAAGAGTTTCCACGGCTTTATTTAGCCGCTCTAATTCGCCTTGAGATTGTGAAAGTTTCTCGGTGTTACTTTTCTGAACTTCCGTGGGCACTTTGACAGTATAGTCTTCTGCCGCCATTGCTTGTTGCAGCTTGTTTATAGTTTGTGACAGTGCTTCTTTCTTCTTTTCAATCTTGGCGATCTCTTTTTGGGGGTCGATAAGGCCCTGTGAAATAAATATCTTATAATTGTTTTTTAAAACAAAATACTTATATTTGGCAAAATTATTTTACATTAATAAAATTACTTTCAGTTTGGATGTAGTGGATCATACTCCTATATGATTAATTAGTATTTTAGTAGTGTAGTTATAGCAAAACTTGCTACTGTCCAACAGTGGATTGTATTTTTACTGATGATGTGCAGAAATCATATCATCGCTTAAAATGACTAAGTGTTTCAAGTGTAAATTTTTTTTTTATAATAAATCTGACGTGACAAATGAAATTGAACAGTCCACCTGATGGTTAATGGTTACTGTAGTCTAAAGACACCTGCAGCCAACTTGTTGTTGTCATACCCATACCGTCCACTATCTCTATACACATCCAAATAAAATACAGCAATGCAAACTATTTATTTATTTATGTAATGATTTCTTATATTTATGCGAACACTACACATTTAAATAATACGAGTTCTTACGGATTTTATCGCGTATATTAACTTTTTTTATATACTTATACCCGACGTTTTGAGCACTTCACAGCACCCATGGTCACGGGGGGGGGGGGGGGACTGAGATGTTCAACGTCCAGATGTCATAGTTCACCGCGATTACCACAGATTAAAATTATTAATTTTATATAACGGTATATAAAAAAATAATACACGCGATAAAATCCGAAAAAACTAGTATTATTTAAATTATTTATTGATGCTTTATTTGCACACCGAGTACAAAAAGGCGGACTTAATGCAACGAGGCATTCTCTACCAGTCTATCTCCAGGCTAAGCAGAGAAGATATTGTGGGTGCAAAGTGCACCTGAATTAAAAATATCTATGATTACTATTAAATACCATAATACATATTATATATACACACATACATGTAGTAGCTGCAGAACCTTATTCGTTTTTCAAATCAGTCAAAATTGAATTAGCCATCATTGAAAATTAGAGTTGTCGTCTACCGGAACTCATATTGAGTAATGACACCTTATTTGGCATGACTTATGTTGAACAATCATTTTTAATACTTTTGTATATATATATATATGTTATATATATATATATACAGTGTGTAAGTGTAAACACCGTTGTCACTGAAACCATAGGTGGTTGGCTTTAATATAAAAATATTTATCCGATTTTTTTTTAAAAAAAAGCTATTTTCTTTTATAAAATTAAAAAAGTTTCTGTCCGACACCGTCCGTAAATTCATGGATACCCTATGCGCTCGAGTGACGTAATCACTGTAAAGATCACCGCCCGCCCTTGCTACCTACACAACATTTCAATATAAACACAATGGTACACATAACCTATCATGAAACTTTTCCTTCATACTTTCACACTTGCTTAGGACAGAT